TAGATGTTTGTCTGGGTGTCCACTTACATTTAGCGGTCCAAGTATAATAAGTGGGAAACTCGACATATATGAGTTCATATACTTCGGGATTATTTATATTCTCTTGAAACCAAGCTGTTAAAGTCGTCATCTGATTATTAGCATGATTAATGATATCTTGGAGATCTTCTCTTTCTTGAAAAAAAACATGCTGATGTCCTAGAAGATGCACTGCAAGTCGTTGAACTTTTGGAGCACGGTTATGGAGTTTGTAATGAAAAATTCTCCAGATAGCTTCAGAAGCTGAAACATACCTTGCATCGAGGTACATTTTGATTTCATCAATTTGGACAGTTTCAGTTGATGGTTGTTGGTTATCTGTTTGAGTGGAATGCGTAAAGATAAAAGTTGCGTAGTCATGCCATTTGTAAACGTATTTATATAAATATTTAACGGCTAATATAGAACTGCAGATCTCAACATTAATATGGGCGTTATATTTTGTAATCAATTTGATATTATGAGGTACGATCCATCTATTATCTAATTTGACGTCAGTTCTAATCTCTACGAATTGATTAGTATCTCGCTTGTAGTAAATAGGGTATCCGCTATTACTCTCTATAGTTCGTTCTTGGAAGCTTTTGGGATAATCTTTTTTACAAACACCATTTTTCATACATAGAGCGTCTGGGTTCAAAGAACTACATGGCCCATGCATCATCATAGCTGAGACAGTTTCATAAGCGAGCAGATTTAATGCATTGTTAGGAATTTCTGCTAAAACTATAGCATCATAATCATCAGTTGATCGTAATTTGTTTTCAGGAGCGAGAATTAGTAAAATATGAGCATGGGAAAGACCACGCTTCTGAAATTCTACGATATATACATATGCAATAACTTTTCCAAGCCAATAGTTATTGCATAGGTCTTTTAACAGAGCTTGCAATTTTACATGAAATACACGGGCTGTTAAATCAGGCCTGTTAGCAGCGGCTTGATGAGGTAATAATTCCCTGGTCACTTCTAGTCATTTAGGGTTACAGGTAAAAGTTACAAAAAGATCAGGTTTTCCAAAGTGAGTTATAATTGTCATTGCATCCTGATATAGTTGATACATTTGACGTAGTCCGCTAGTAAAAGATGAAAGAAGAATTATATGACGACTAATATCCATACTATTATTATGAGTATGTAATGCGTCTATAACACCTTGATACAACTCAGTTCAAAGAGATTTTTGGTTCATTTTAAGGTAGATTAAACGATTTTGTTCTATCTTGGCATATTGGTCAACAATATACTGTAAATATAAACAGCCAGCGTGCTGTATCCAATCACGATCTCTAATTTGCAATCTATAGAAGTAAAATTGCATTGTTGTTACTCTTTCTCTTTTTACAGCATTTATGAGTAGTATATCTACGTGCTAACCATCATCACCTTTAGAGAATAATAGTATATAGTGAAGCGGATTATATAAGGAATGAAACTCGAATATTTGCAAATTTCCTTCGTGCAATCTAAGAAGAATATCTCGGCTCGTTGGATTGATTTCATAACTATCACTAACTATAATCGCAGCTACTTCAGAGGATGTTGGGGCATTATAGCGGTAAATGTCACGAGATTTATCACTATAAATTATCATTGAAATTGAGGTGGTTAAATTTTCTTGAATAATATCTCTTACTTGACAAAATTTTTGAATATAAGAATTGCTTTCATCAAGTACATTTTGTAAAGTCTGTAAAATATCTTCACTTAATTCATTCAATTGATTCATGGTGTTATGACAATTTTCAATTTCATGCACAGTGTCATAGATGTAAAGTTGAGCAAATGCTAGAGAGTTGCTTTTTTCTGGTAACAACAGTCTGATGAGGTGATAGACTTGGCCATGAATTCGAAAATTTGATACACTTTGTCCTACGAATTGTTGATTTACTTTAGCACCAAAAGATATGCAGGCTAAAACTGAGTTATAGGCTCTTATGTTTTTTTGGAATTTATTGGCAAGATGTGTATTTGAAATATATAAATTTAGTAAGTGTGGGGGCAGTTGAATTAATGGAGGCAATTTTACTTTGCCACTAGCACAGCAAACAGGAAATTTCGGAGCAGCGAGACCACTATTCTGCTCCTTTTCTAGCATCCAAAATTTAGCTTCGCAATGTCTACAGGCTTGATCCATTCTTCCCATATCATGTCGTAATGTTTTAATGTGAATAGAGTGCGGTCTTGGATTAGGATGGATATTAATTAGATCAAGATTAGTATCAAGAGTAAGAGGTTCAATTACAACAGTTGGGATTTCAGTTGTAAGTAAGCATTCGAGTTCTTCAAAGTCTATAATAGTGAATTGAGTAGTATTATCATTTTTTTTATCTCTAAACCATTTTTGTCTGTTACAGGAGAGTTCTTTTCGATAATCTTTTGAAGTTTCAGATGGCGTTGACATTTTTAAGAAAATTAAATAGCTTAAACGAAGAAAAGGACAAAGATTATATTAATGTATAAACCGAGAATAAAAGGTAAGAAAAATATTATAATTGATAATTAATTTAAGACTGAGGGTAAAGAAAATAGCTGGTTAAATATATATTTTCAGCACTAATTATATATAGATTATCAAATTTAACAGATCAAAGATATTATGATTTTTGCGTTTGATCGCTATATTACGAATATACAATGATATATGATAATTTACACACTTTAAGTAGAGTAATTGATAATCATATCTTATGATCATCTAAAGAGAATTGAGATGGAAATTAATTATTTCGGGGCGGTGCAGTGTTTTCGTAGAGTTTAAATAGGTTTTATATAAGTAAAGAGGCTTGGATCTAAGATTATTTCGTATATTTTTATTAAAGTACGATGATAATTATATATTAAGATTTTTCAGTAAAACTGAGATGTTAAGTAATCATTTATCATGTTATTTTAATAATATTTATATCTGGGTCAGAACTTAGAAGTAATATAATTTTATTGATTTAATCAGAGGACGATGATAATCATGAGATCATATGATATGATAGTGACAATTGAGATTTTAATTGTTATTATCGCATCGTTCTGGTAGGCTTTGAAGGTATTTAGCTTAATAGGTGTAAAAGCTTGGATGATGGAATAAAAGCTAAAAAAGGAAAAAGAATTTCTGAATTTGTAGGCTAATAGTTATATTTTATATATATGAAATTTGCTTTAATTATAAAGTTTGACAGTGAGGTTTGTTATTAGTAAATATATTCAATATTGTTACGGTATTTAGTTTATAAATTAATATATTGGTTAATGCAACATGTAAGAAATTGTTGCAAAACAATATGTTGTTGAGTATAAAAAGCCCCACAATATATTAACACATGATGCGGATGCTGCGTGGGTAGTAGGACAAAATACTTGAAATAGGAAGGCAGAGCGGTCTGACCAATTTGGAAGAATCTTCATGGTTACAAGGCCTCCTATGGGATACCAAAAGAGGAAGTTGCTTGTGGTAAAGTATAAGAGATGCGGTGAATATAGAAAGGAGTAATGTGTACAAATCAGGATAAAGTAGTTAAATCCAGGTAATACATAAGTGGGATATGGAATACTCTGGTAGGTTTAGGTCGCAGATAGTAGTCAAGACCTGTCTGAGCCATAATGTACTTAATAATTAGTATATAAAATAATTGTATCACATAATATATACAACAAAAATATATACTTAATAAAAAAGTCATGAGGCATAACCTCACCTTAATACTGAAAAAAAATAACTTGAACATGTTACAGAGACCTGAATATGCAGAGATTCTAAAAAAAAAAAAGTTAAGTTGCTATTAAATTTATAGTTCTTTTAATTTTCTTTATTGTAATCTTACTCAAACTTACTGTATTACAGGAGCCTGGGATTTGCACCTGATCTTTTTTTCAAAAAAAAAAGATTACTAGCTTTGTGGTTTTTTAATTTTTTTATTGTAATCTTACTTAACTTATTATAGGAGCCTTAATTCGCCAAGATTTGTCCCTGATTTTTTTTCAAAAAAGAGGTTAGTAATTTGTTACTAGCTTAGTAGCTTTTTAATTTTCTTATTATAATCTTACTTGAACTTATTATATGAATCTGAATACATAAAGATTCTGTGCTAAGTTTTTTTTTTTAAAAAAAAAAGATAGCTAATTTGTAGTAATCTTTATTTGAATATGCCGAGATCCAGAGCCACATAATTTTTTTTTAAAAAAAAAGTTAGTAATTTGTTACTAGTTTAATGTATCTTTTAGCTTTCTCATTGTGATCTTGATCTTATTACAGGAATCTGAAAGCACCAAGATTCATGTCCAAGTCTTTTTTTTTTTAACAAAAGGAAGTTAGTAGTTAGTTACTAGTCTCATGTTCTTTTAGTTTTTATTATTGTATTATATCACAGGAACTTGAATATGTGGAGATCCTTTGCTCCAAGATTTTTTTCTAAAAAAAAAGATGAGCTTATTAGATTCGTAGTTCTTTTAGTTTTTATTGTAACTTTACTTGAATTTACTGTGTTACAGGAACCTGAAATTTATATCTGATCTTTTTTCAAAAAAAAAAAAAAAAGTGTAGTAATTTGTTACTAGCATTGTAGTTTAGTTTTCTCATTGTGATTTTACTAAACTTAAAATGAGAGCCTTGATGCGCCAAAATTTGTTCTGATCTTTTTTTTTTTTTTAAAAAAAAAGTTAGTAATTTGTTATTAAATTTGTAATTCTTTTAATTTTCTTATTTTAATCTTATTTGAACTGATTACAGAACTTGAATGAGCAAGTCAAAGATTGGATCAATTAGTTTATTATTGGTTACTCTGAATTTATTATAAGCCTGATTTAAATATTTATTTTGATATTAGTCTCATGGTTCTTTTAGTTTCTTATTAGTATTTATAACTTGTAATAAAAGTCTGATTTATATGCCCAAATTCAGAATTTTTATTTTAATAAAAAGTGGTTGATATTTTATAAAATTTTGTTTGAAAAAATTTACATTTAAAATAAAAAGTTACATTTAAGAAAAAAAAAAAAAATTTTTTTTAAAAAAAAAATCATGACTTTACAACTTTGACCTGATTAATAGAAATAGACATTTCCTTTCTGTCTACAACAATCGCCGTGTGATTATTTGAGGTTAGTCTTTTGAATATGCCTTGCTGTGAATATGTTGGCTATAATTTTTTTTTGGGGGGTTGAGGGTTGGTATCATGGTCCAGTGCAACTTTAACTATGGTTTTGGTCTCAATTGTATTATTTGGTGTTTTTTTTCTATTGTTGAACATTTTTTTGTAATATTTTCCTAGCATTGCATTTACTGACTAAAAAAAAAAATGGTCAAAATTTTACATTTCAGTGTTACTAGGATTATATGTTTCTGAAGCATCTGCTTTACCCACTTCATCATCCTCAAGTGCTTCGTCATTATCATTATTGGGTGCTTTATCATTATTATTATTGGGTACTTCATCGTTATTATTATCGAGTGCTTTATAAATATTTATTTCATTTTCCTGATCATTATCTGATATTCCATAAGCACATTTCATTATTTGGATCTGGTGTTTTATAGATGCAATGCATCTTCCAGCCAAACATAACTTCATGAAGTGTATATTTATGTGCAATATGTACAGTTGAATTGTAAGACATAACAAAGGCATCTAATACATCAGTCCATTCTTTTTTTTGAAGTTGATTATCACAATCCCAGCAATTTTGTAAAACCTCAACCAATTGTTTGGTTAAGTTGTTCTACCTGTCCTTGGAACTGTGGATGGTGAGGGTAACCATGCTTAATTCTGATATTGAGAGTTTCACAGACTTGCTTAACTATACCTTTGAACTCCTTTCCGTTGTCACTTTGTAAAACTAATAGTGGGCCGAGAATTCTAAAAACATCTTTAACTAAATATATAGCAACTGTATCTGCTTCTTTGTTTTTTATAGGAATAGTGACAAGATATTTTGAAAATATACAGACACATGTGAGTAACTATGCAAACCCGTAATTCACATTTTTAAAATTATAAAAATCAATTAAATCAATTTGAATATGCTACCATGGTGCTACAGATACAACCGATTTCATATCGGTTCGTTCTTTAATAGAAGAATTAATAATGTAAACTGGACACTCATTAATATAAGTCTGTACCTCGGTTTGTGTAATACCAATATGTTTTTTGAAAAGAGCAGAAAAGGTTTTATAATAATTTCAATGATTTGATTAATTATGAAAGTTTTTTAGCAATAACACACACAACTCCACATTGTATTTAGGAATAGCACACCATTTATCTGATACTATTTTACCATCTTTAAAAGCAGCAGAAAGGTAAAGAATCTTATTTTCGTCTAATTCAAATTTTTTACAATGATTCTCAAATTTATATTTTGCAGCAGGATAATTAATGATTTCAGGTAATTTTTTTGATTTAAAAAAATAAACTATATTCTTGTATTTGGTTGGTGTTCTGGGAAGTTTTGGAGTTGCCGGCATAATTACAGAATTAAAGTTAAAAAAAAATTTGGCAACACCATTCACAGGTCCAAAGCATAAATATCAGATACCTGATAGCTAACGATTGGTGCCAAAAATCTGATCTATATTGGCAATATGTCAAAAAATATCAGAAGCATATCAGGTAAAGATTCTGATATTTTATATGCTTTGGACCTGTGCATTTATGCTAATTATCATGTGCAAACAAATAAATAAATCACATTAGAGTATGGAATCGAAAAATATATAATGCACGTTAGGACTATGCACGTATAGGTTAGGGTTAAAACTATGCATGCAAGAGTTGCAAATAATATCAATACCCTGTGGCACATTATTTGGCACATTCAAAATTTTAACAATTAAACTAACCTTTTTTTCAGAATTCAAAAAAAGCTTAGCATGAAATCTCTGCATATTTAGGTACAAATTACCTTTTTTAAAAATAACTCGGGACACAGAATCTCAATGTATTCAGGCTCCTATATTAAATTCAAGTAAGATCACAAAGTAAAACAAAACTATAAAACTAGAAAAAAAATTAACCTTTTTTTGGGAGGAAAAACTCGAAATGAATCTTTATATATTCTGGTTCCTGTAACATATTCAAGCAAGATCACAACAAGAAAACAAAGTACTATGAATCTAATAGTAAGCTTCTAATCTTTTTTTTTGAAAAAAACACTTGGGCACAGAATTTTTGTGTATTTACGTTCTTGTAATAAGTTCGAATTCAATAGCAAGTTACCAACCTTTTTTTTTTGTTTTTGAAAAAAAAAGCTTGGGCACTAAAAATCTGTCAAATAGTAACAAATTACTAACCTTTTTTTTTTTTTAAAAAAAAAAAAAAAATTATGAGGCTCACTACAAAAAAACTAAAAGAACCACAAAATAGTAACAAATTAATGCTTTTTTTTTTGAAAAAAAGACTTGGAACAGAATCTTTACATATTCAGGTTCTGTAATAAGATCATAGTGAAAAAAAACTAAAAGAACCACAAAACTAATACAATTTACTAGCCTTTTTTTAAAAAAAAAATCTTGGGGTGCAGAATCTATGCATATTCAGGTTTCTATAATAAGTTTAAGATCACAATGAGAAAAATAAAAGAACCACAAAACCAATAAAAGTTACTGACCTTATTTAAAAAAAAAGAGTAAGCATGAATCTCCGAATAGCAAGCTATTAATCTTTTATTTTGTTTTTAAAAAAAAACTTGAAGCGCAGATTCCATACATATTCAGGTTTTTGTAATAAGTTCAAATTATAATACAATAACGAAAACTAAAAGAACCATGAAACTGGTAATGAATTACTAACCTTCCTTTTTGTTTAAAAAAAGGCTTTGGCATGGAATCTCGGTATATTCAGGTTCTTGTAAAAGATCAATTAAAATTACAAAAAGATAACTAAAAAAGCCATTGGCAAATTCAGGTTCCTGTAATAAGTTCAAATAAGATCACTATAAAAATTAAAAGAACCATAAAAAATAGTAACAAATTAATAACCTTTTTTTTTAAAAAAAAAAACTTGGCACAGAATCCTTGTATATTCAGGTTCCTGTAATAAGTTCAAGTAAGATTACAATAAGAAAACTAAAAGAACCACAAAACAAGACCAAATTACTAACCTTTTTTTTTAAAAAAAAAACATGGCACAGAATCTCTGCATATTCAAGCTCCTGTAATAAGTTCAAATAAGATCATAATGAAGAAAACTAAAGAACTGCAAATCTAATAACTCATTACTAATCCTTTTTTTTTTAAAAAAAAAACTTAAGCACAGAATTTTAGTGCATTCAGGTTTCTGTACTGACTTCTTTTTTTGAAACATAAAATCACTATCTATAATACTGTAATAAGTTCAAGTAAGATCACAGTAAGAAAAATAGAACCATGAAATTAATAGTAAATTACTACTAACTTTTTTTATAGAGAAATATAAAAAATGAAAACTAATAGCAAAACTACTAGCCTGGTTTTTTTTTCTTAAAACTTGGTACTGTGTCTCTTACTTTGATCTCTATTTAGATTTTAAAATAAACTATGAATTAATAGCTACTAATGTGAAGTACAAGAATTTTGACATATTTGGGTTCCGGCAGTTGGTAAATTACTAACCTTTTTTACCTTATTAAAAAAAAAGACTAGCAAGCCTAGTAATTCTTTTAGATAATAAAGATTCATAAAACTAAAAGAACTATGTAGGCTCCTAATCTTTTTAGAAGAGGTACTATAAAAAAGACTAGTAATCTTTTAGATTATTATAAGAATTCATAAAACTAAAAAAAGCTTAAAAGCGAGTACTATAAAGACAATTTTGGCTATCATGACACACCTTATTTGATGGTATCATGATGCACATCATTTGACACTATTAGATGACTTACATAATCAAAATTGACAATGGCAGATAATCATTGTTTATCGCATGATTTCTGTCATCAGCTGTTTCCAGCATTAGCCGCAACAATTATTCATGGCCTTCTTTCACACCTTAATAAATATCTTGATAATAAAGTAGCAAAAGAAATAAAAAAAGCTAATGGAATATTGGAATCATATTTTAAAATTCTCCACTATACCCACTTTCCTTGATCTCTCTAATTAATTAGAAGAGCTTTATTAACTATACAAAACAGGCAACTTAGATACAACATCTTAAATAAAAGATCTATTAAAATTTTTTCAAGAGCTGATAGTTGCTAGTGAAGAAAATAGAACTATACTTGCTGCCCAAATTCAAATCTATAAATCACAATTCCAAATCCCAAATTCTACTACCAAAATCCCAAAGTCTTATTAGATACAAATCCCAAATTAGATACAAATCCCAAATTAGATACAAATCCCAAATTAGATACAAATCCCAAATTAGGTACTAATTCCAAATTAAGTACAAATTTCAAATTAGATATATACAAATTTTTAATAATGCTAATTTTAAATTAAAAATAAATTTAATATAATAACAATAATAATAATATTTGATTATTAATGAACTTAAATTTTATTAATATAATAATTTTATATCTAAATATATATTAGGCCATACAAATAAAATTATTTGTTTCTTATCTATATAAATAGTAAAAAGTGACCTGGCCGCCCAGGAAATAAATTTATTTTTTTAAAAAAATTAAATCTTTTCTAAAATATGATTGGTTAAAAAAATATATATTTTTCACAGTAAAATATTTATGTCTCAGCTATTATCATAATTCATTGAAAATTTGCCCAAATGATTTTTCTGCCAATCTGGTTAAGCTATAGATTTTGGGAATAATAACGATAATAATAAGATTTAGTAACAGATATATCAGATATATGATCAGATGACTAATATAGAACTTATATTTCAATAAGACTAAATATTGGCATGCAATTCCCATTATTTGGCAAGATCTATTTTTGTTCAAATAAAGCTATTTAATTATTTTTTGTTTCTAGTTGAAGACAAAAAAATTTGGGTTTAAAAAATTGAATTAAATTTCGATTCCTATTCTTTGGTAAGATCCATTTTTGTTCAAACGAAGCTTTTATTCATTTCTAATTATTCTTCATTTCTTGTTAAAGATGAAAAATTCTGTTTTAAAAAATTAAACTAAATTTTGATTCATTTATTTCTAATTATTTTTTTGTTCTTATAAACAAATATAAACATATAATATTATTTATTTTGATTTCATTTATCATAATTCTTCATGCATTCTCAACAAATATTAATAATATCTTGGTCACTTGAAATCCTAATCCAAGATTCATTTTTAAACCAGTCGACTATATGGAGCAGCGTTAATTAAAACATAGCATAGTAAGATTGATTATTTTCTAAAATTTGTTATACAAAATGATAAAAATTAGAGCATGTCTAATTGTAATGTAGTGTGATATCAATCAAAATATGAATATTTTTAATCATTATGAAAAGTATTGCTTTACACTGCTTAAGTTTGGACTATGCTGGCATTATTTAGGTGGAGGCAGTATTTTATTAAAGCAGTTAAATGGAATTAGTACATGATGGTGGATAAACAAGTGACTGGCTGTAATTAGCCAGAATGGCAAAGACATCTCGAGAAGTATGCAACACTCATTGTACTGGGAGTTGCTATAGAATTGATTAGCCAGTGGTTTCCCGCCTGCCTGCCAGAGCAGGCCGGCTGTGAGCAGAGAAGCAAGTGAAAATACCAAATATACGGTAAAGAAGTATAAGAGTAAAGAAATGGTAGAATCCCATCCCATCATTTGATTTGGGTGGGTCAAGAAAAAGTCTGATCGATCAAATTTGACACTAAGGGAGTTCAGTATTTGGTGCTGTGGTTTTATCAAAAGCTATTTCCAGATTCTATTTTTGGGCTTATGTTGTTCATATGTCATTATCATATAAAGCAGCATGCTCGCATATGATTCCTCCCTTTCAATTAGCTTTTTGTTTTGGCATTGGCCTCTCGTAAGTAATTCCGCAAATCGTGGTGTAGGTGTGCCATCTCACTTTTCAATCACGTGATCTGTTATTACTTCGCATTAATATTTTTATTATAAACAACATGTTATGATTAGACATGTCCTAATTTTTTATTATTTCGTGTAACAATTTTTAGAAAGTAATCAATCTCACTATGCTATGTTTTGATTGATGCTGCCCCATATTTAACTTTTAAATAACAGCACTGTTCAAGCAATATATTTGTTATAAAAGTCTAATTTATATTCGATTCCTTCTTGTTAAGGTTTATTGGTCGATATGAACAGTTTTTTTTCATAAATTTTCATACAAACTAAAGTACACCAAGCATTCAGATGAATTTAAAATCATTGACATTATTGTTATGACAATTATAAAATGATCAGTAATTATTTTATTATTATTATTATTATTATATGGATCAAGCTGAATTAATAACTTAACCGGATTGGCAGAAAAATCATTTGGGCAAATTTTCACATATGTTCTATGAATTATGATAATAGCTGTAAAAAAATAAAATTTTTTTCTCTTTCATAATATTTATGTGACCCAGCCGGGAATGAGAAACAAATAATTTTATTTGTATGGCCTTATTGCAAATAGCAAATTTATACCTATAGGTTGATAGTGCAGTGGTTAGCACTCCTAGGTCTCAAAACGTAAGGTTGCAAGTTCGAAACCCATGGGGAATCAATCTCTGCCAGAACCACGTTTGGTTATAAGATTGCGGGACATAGCCATGAAAAGGTTACACAACTTCCAAAAAAGGATAAGATTCCAACAAAAGAAAGTCATTAATATAAGGAACCCCCGATAAAGATATAAGGCGCATGATATCTACCCAAAAAGAAAAAAGAAGTACAGAGGAACTACTTAAAGTATCCTTGCTCAAACCTGAAATGGAAGGAAGACCGAAACTTCAAGTAGGATCGACCACTAGTGTTCAAAATTGTTAAAATTTTACCAACCTGTTAGTTGCCAACTATAGTTGGCAACTAACCGATTACATATATTACGTGATATTTTCAGATATTAGCCAATCAAATCCAAGAAATCATTCTGAATTATTCCAAATAAGCAGAATATCTCAGAATTATATTAATTGAATGATTAGTTGGTTAGTTGATTAAAAAATTTTCTAACTGGTTAGTTGGAAAGTTGTCAACTATTCGGTTTTCCAACTAACGATTTGGAACACTATCGACCACATAAGAATGCCCATAATAACATGACAGTAGGTCTGGTTACCCGAAACTGTAAAACTCAGGAGCAAGTAAAATAAGGAAATATGGATAGAAAAAGCACCTGGTGACACGAAAGTAGGCCTGAGAAACCGAACCCATAATCACAGAAAACTGACACCGATAACACCACTAGACAGTGTTGTATATTTCGACTATTCCAAGCTATTTTCGCCTTGTCCCATCCTGGGACATCCTGGGATGTCCCAACTTTGTTCTATCAATTTCTCATTTTCTAAATTGTAAACAACTTTACTTAAGAATTAAAAAGAAGTATTTTTTTAAAACTTCCAATTTGTTCCAAAATTGTCTCATATTTGTTCTAACTGTCCTGTGTACAACACTGCCGCCAGATGGGTAAGGTAGTTCACAAGCGGGTAATATGAAAACAAAGTACAGAGTAGGGTAGTACATGTAGCCAGTGTTGTACACGGGACAGTTGGAACAAATATGGGACAATTTTGGGACAAATTTGAAGTTTTAAAAAATACAAATAATACAAATTTTTATTAAGATAACCTTTTTTTAATTCTTAAGTAAAGTTGTTTAAAATTTAATTTTACACATATTTTATTATAACTTTACAATTTAGAAAATGAGAAATTGACCTGTGGGTTGATAGCATAGTGGTTATGCTCCCAGGTTGCAAATCGAATAGTTGCCAATTCAATTCCTCCCAATGGTAAATTAATGAAAATTCAAAAATAGAAGTGAAACACTGCAGAGTATAGGGAACCCCAGAATATCTACGGATAGACGTATTCAGGAAAAGCATGGCGGACATTCGATTTGATTGGCTAAAAAATGTAAACAAATAAACAATATGCATAATATAGATCAGTGATTGTCCGTGATAATTAACCAATCAAATTACATAATTTTAAAGCTTACAAATATATATCTAAAACAAATAGATACAGAATAAATTATTAGTGAAACTATCTTTTGAAAAATCAAATTCATTTTTATTTTATTATTATGACCTTTATTAGAGATACAACATGACCTTAAGCCTATATAATTAATGTAATAATAATACTCATATACTGTACATACTACTTAATGTTTAGCTAATACTACAATAAATAGAAGTTTTTGGGATTACTGATTATTTTTGTATAATGAATATATTGAAGTTAGAAATGGCTTTTACAGTAATTGTTTGTTAGAAATGTTAAACTGTATAAATAAGTTACCCAGACAATTAATTTATATCAGCCAATTAGACGAATATCTGTCTATGAATTAATACAAACTTTATTGTTATGCCTAAGTCGTTAAAGAATTCTAATTCAATTTACAACAAAACTATGTGTATTTCAAATTAAGAGAACTGTTAAAGCCAGGTTCGATCACAAATTTAATTACATTAAGGTTAGAGTCAGATTAAAGTCTGTATGGGCTAGGTTTAGATAAGCTTTTATATGTAAAATCGTCCGCCAAATATTTTTTCTTAATACACAAAGATAGGTTTAGACATTCGTTTCATGTATTTTTCACATTTCTTCCTTTTTTTGCTTCATCGGAATGATCTGTGTAAACAAAAATTTATAATTTTTATTAGTCAAAATCTTGTAATCAAATCTGGCTTTAACGGATCCCCAAATTAAGTTGGTTTGAAATTTAAATTACTAAGATTTATAACAGAATTAA